GGGACGTGACAGCATAGAATCTACTCACCAAAGCTACCATTTCCTCTAAACAAACTGAACCCTGTAGACTGGATATCAGCTGTAATTTGGGGAGAACTCCAGGCCCTACCTGAAGATTCCTCACCATATACAACATGGGTGTAAACTTCAGAGGGGTGGGGGGCTCAAGCTCCCTCTGGGATTTCCTGGCAGGGGCAGTACCCCCCAAGGCTGCCAGGCAGCCTCATGAAGCTGCCCAGGCTGCCAAATTCAGTCAATCCCGTTTGCCTTTGTGGCAACTTGCCAATAGCGTACCGAATTCGCTTCAAAGTGCTGGTTCCTACCTATAAAGCCCTACATGGTCTGGGTCCAGCCTACCTGAGGGACCGCCTTTCCCCGTATGTTCCCCCAAGAGCACTACGGTCTGGGGCCCAAAATTTACTAACTGTACCGGGCCCCTGAGACGCAAAACTGGTCGCTACAAGGGCCAGGGCCTTTTCGGTGGCGGCCCCTACCTGGTGGAATGAGCTCCTGGAGGAGATCCGGGCCCTGCGGGACCTGATGCAGTTCTGCAGGGCCTGCAAGACGGAGCTCTTCCACCAGGCTTTCGAGTAGGGGCCTCTGCCCCCCGCCCCCGCCCCCTGCTATATTGTCATCATGGGGGGTGGAAGAGGCCCTAGGAAGGAAACATCTGAATTCTTGAATATCTGAATAAATGTTGAAACCACTGAACGACTATGGGGAACCTCTGGACTTGGCCCGTCATCTTTGGGGTTTTTGGAAATGAAGATCAACGAGCACTTTAAATTTAAATCTGTATTGGGATTGGTTTTAAATTGTATAATTGTTTTAACTATAGGAATTATGTTTTATTGTTGCAAGATTTCTTGCCTTGTTAGCCCCCCTGAGCCCTACGGGGGAGGGCGGGATATAAGTTTGGAGGGAAGGGAAAGATTAGCAGAACTCATGAAATCCATCTATCAAAATCAATTAGAATGCCTCAGTGGTTGGACTGAGGAATGTATTTCCTGTAGCTAGCAACACAAACTCTGATGTAAGTAATGGATGATTGAGATTTAGACCACTATGAGTGAGCAAAAATTAAACCTTGTGATTGTTGATGGAAGGTGGTTTTTGGAAATTTAAATAATTTCATATTGAAGTAATCTTTAATAATAATTCCCTTATGTATTGGCCATTTCCAGCTGTCCCATTGGCTGTGCAGTGCGCTCCATCAGCCATTGGCCCATCAACCACCACTCAAGAGTACTTGCTTGCCATTGGCTGGGTCCACTCCTCTTCTCCACCCAGTGCCACCTCAGCCACTGTTCCCTGTCAGAATAACTGCCAAATGGCTGTCTCTCCTGACGAAGACATTTCTCCTGCTTGACTCCTGTGGGACTAACTTTTCCCTCAGTGGCTGTTGCTAGGCAACCAAGCTTGGTTCTGTCAGTAAAAAGACAAAGGAATGAAGCCCTTTCCAGGCCTTTGTGGGGAACTCATTGGGGCCAGTCCTGATTAGGGTTGCCAGCTCCAGGTTGGGAAATTCCTGGAGATTTTGTAATAAAGTCTACGGAAGCCAGGGGTTGGGGAGGGGAGAGGCCTCAGCTGAACAGGATGCCCCTCCAAAGCAGTTATTTTCTCCAGGGGGGGGAGAGAGAGAGATCTGTTGTCTGGAGTTCAGTTGTGATACCAGGTGATACCACAGCCAGTGTGGCCTAGCAGTTAATACTTCAGAGCAGGGTCTGTCAGACCCAAGTTCTTGCTGTGGAAGCTGATTGGGTGATTTCAGACCACTCACAAACTTTCAACAGAACCCTCTCCCCTACCAGCTTGGCCACTTTCCTGTCAGAATAAACTATAAAAACGGCTGTCTCTACTGCTTGGCTCTTCCATGGCTGGCTGGCTACTGAGGTGGGCCAGTGACTGTCAAACCATTCCCTTCAACCTCCTGTAGTGTGTCTGACTTTCCCCTAGGGTTGCCAATCTCCAGGTGGGACCTCGAGATCTCCCACTGTTACAATTGATCTCCAAATGACAGTTCCCTTGGAGAACATGGCTGCTTTGGAGGGTAGACCCTATGGCATTATACCCTGCTGAGTCCTTCCCCTCCCCAAATGCTGTCCTCCACAGGATCCGCCCCCCAAAATCTCCAGGTATTTCCCTACTCAGAGCTGGCAACCCTACTTTCCCCTCAGTGCCTATTGCTAGGCACCCAAGCTTGGTTCTGTCAGTAAAAGGCGGGGGAGGAGACTTTTTCTATGCCTATTTTGGCCTTTGGGTGAAAACTCACTGGGGCCAGTCCTGACTAGGGTTGCCAGCTCCAGGTTGGGAAATTCCTGGAGATTCCTGAGCGGGTGATTTTGGACCAGTCACAGACTTTCAGCCTAACCTACCTCACAGGGTTGTTGTGCAAGAAAAAAAGGGGGACAGGAAAATGATGTAAGCTGCTTTGGTCCCCATTGCAGAGAAAGACTACTTTTCCTCCTAGGCAACTATTGTTGCCAATCTCCAGGTGAGGACTGGAGATCACTCAGAATTACAACTGCTCTCCAGATGGCAGAGATCAGTTCCCCTGGAGAAAATGGTGGACTCTGTGTCCTTATACCCTGCTGAGATGGCTCCCCCAAGACAGCCAGTGTGACATAGCAGTCAGGGCTTCAGAGCACGGTTGAGCAGGGGTGTCGAACTCATTTGTTATGAGGGCCAGATCTGACATAAATGAGACCTTGCTGGGCTGGGCCATGTGTGTCATAAAATGTAATGCCAGGTAGCGGAGATATAAACTTTATAAAGGACACAAACACATGGGTTGGTTTTTTTACTTAAAATAAAAACATGCCTAAAACATTAGCACTTTTGCAATATTTTGTTTATTTAACAGTGTCTGATAACTGGCACCTCTTGCTCTGAATTATTACATCAAAATGTCTGTGCTGCTGCAATATTGAGTATGCTGTTCGGGTGTGTATCTGTAAGCTGCAAACCTACAATGACACAGCAGCAGCAGAACTGAAAGAAGAAGCAGAAGACAGCTAGTTCCACTGTGGGCCTGATAGAAGCCCTCCGGGGGCCTGATCCGGCCCCTGGGCTGCATGTTTGACACCCCTGTGGTAGAGGCTGCAGATGGGGGGGAGATGGAAAGCTGAAGAGTGAGGGGGAAATAAAAGTAGGTTGATGATTGGCTGCCAACTCCAGGTTGAGGGTTGCCAACTCCAGGTTGGAAAATTCCTGGAGATTTGAGGGGTGGCGCCTGGATAGGGTGAGATTTGAGGAGGAGGGGGACCTCAAACAGGTACAATGCCATAGACCCCAACCTCCAAACCAGCCATTCCCTCCTGGGAATGAGAGGTTGAGGGTTGCCAACTCCAGGTTGGGAAATTCCTGGAGATTTGAGGGGTGGCACCTGGATAGGGTGAGATTTGAGGAGGAGGGGGACCTCAAACAGGTACAATGCCATAGACCCCAACCTCCAAACCAGCCATTCCCTCCTGGGAATGAGAGGTTGAGGGTTGCCAACTCCAGGTTGGGAAATTCCTGGAGATTTGAGGGGTGGCACTTGGATAGGGTGAGATTTGAGGAGGAGTGGGATCTCAAACAGGTACAATGCCATAGACTCCAACCTCCAAACCAGCCATTCCCTCCTGGGAATGAGAGGTTGAGGGTTGCCAACTCCAGGTTGGGAAATTCCTGGAGATTTGAGGGGTGGCACCTGGATAGGGTGAGATTTGAGGAGGAGTGGGATCTCAAACAGGTACAATGCCATAGACTCCAACCTCCAAACCAGCCATTCCCTTCTGGGAAATCACTGCTGCCAATCTCCAGGTGAGGGCTGGAGATTACTCAGAATAACAGCTGATCTCCAGGAGAGAGGGGAGAGGAGATAGAAAGCTGAAGACAGGGGGCAGATAACAGTAAGTTGATGGTTGGCTGGGAAGGAGATAGGGTTGCCAGCTCCAGGTTAGGAAATTCCTGGAGATTTGAGGGGTAGAGCCTGGAGAGGGTGGGGTTTGAGGAGAGGTGGTACAATGCCATAGACTCCAACCTCCAAACCAGCCATTCCCTTCTGGGAAATCACTGCTGCCAATCTCCAGGTGAGGGCTGGAGATCACTCACAATTACAGCTGCTCTTCAGATGGCAGAAATCAGTTCCCCTGGAGAAAACAATGGAGTCTATGTCATTATACGCTGCTGAGGTCACCACAGCAGATTGACATTGAGTGCCCAAGTCCAGGGCACCTGCCCAGAGCCTCTTTCTAGAGCTCGTTGTATTTATTTCCACAACAGACCTTATTCCTAGTATAATATAAATCACTAACTATAGGCTTGGGCCAGGTTCAGACCTGTGCCCCCCATGAAACTGAGGAGTCTACACCCCTGTTATATTACAATGTGCCCTAAGCAGAGTTACACCCTTCTAGGCCCACTGAGGTTAAGAGTTCATGGTTTTAGAAGGATATGACTCTGTTTACGAATGCACTCTTCTGTCTACCTGCAGCTATACTTTCTATTGCTTTTTAGCCTCTAGTACCCTTCCTGTGCAGGGCAGGAGCGTTATATAACCATTTAAAAATAATTTACTTGTGGAAATGAATGACATTAAAAAGAATAGATGTGATGACAATACCAGTTTGGTATTTTTTTAAAAAAGGAGAAAGGAAAGTTCAGCAGCACGGAGACTGAGCTCTAAGTGATCATGCAGTGTCAGACCTCATAAAACTAGGATGGCTCATGTGGTGCAGAAGATGAGACAGCCTTAACTTACAATGTCCATGGTGTTTTGGAGCATGAGTGAATCTGGAAATCTCTTAACTTCTTTTCAAGTGAAGATTTTTTTTTCAGAAAAAGAAACTTAGTTCTAATCAAACTGTTGTGTCATCATTCTGTCTGACAGAACTCAGCAGAGAAAAAAACCTCACAGCTCGCTTCAGATGTGAGGGAGGCCATTGCCTATTTTGACTCAATTATTGCAGAGTTGGACGCAGAAAGGCAGCGGAAAATTGTTGTGAGGGATTATCGACATGCAGATGTTGATTTTGACGGTAAGTGTGTACATGACGGGTAGCTATTGAAAGCACCACAAACGTAGGCAGACAATATGTCTATTCATGTTGTGCTAATATTACAAAAAATGAAATAAAATGATATTTCCTTGTTCATGTTCAAATTCTGAAACAAGACAGCAGTGTTATCTCAAACAGAATTACTCCCTTATGCCCATTGGTTTTAATGGACTTGGAAGAGTATAGAACTGTAAGAAAAATAGTAAAAGTAAAATGTAGGGAGATGGTAGCATTCCACTTAACCACCTCAGAGTTACCCTGGATATCTTCCTATAAACTTCAGTGTAATGTACTTTGACCATTAAAACTGAGCACTAGAGGTAATTAAAAAGGAAGAGAGAATCAGAATACAATATTTAAAGGTATCATAATGCTTGTATTTCAGACAAAAGGGGTCAATACTTTGAATGCTTTGTACTTTTCCCGTCACTGTACCCCCCAAAAGCTATTAACATAATTTGAATCAGTATAAAGCAATATCCAACACGGTCCCACTGCATGTTCAAATGAGGAAACCTGAATTCTTGTACCTTCTACAAAGGCCCTGGATTTTCAGAGGCATATGAGAATTCTTATATGACTGGAAATCTCTCCTCTGCCAATGGAATAGTCATAATATCACATCAGCTTAGGCACCAGGTGTCAAATGCCTCAGTTCAACTACTGCTGCAGACAACAGGTGTCACAAAAACATAGCATTACAGTGCAGGCCTAAATTTGGATCTAGAGGACAATTTCCACATACATTAGAGCCCTTGCACTAGCAGAGGTTTACGAAGATGACTGCACTGGCAGCTTCTGCTACGTAAATCTTATTGTTGTGCAGGCAGTTGTAGGTATTGCAGTTGTCTCTAATGCTATTGCTTGTATGAGCCAAAGTGTACTAAATGAGTTTGCATTTCCATTCATGCATCAGTGGGTCCATCCTATAGTTTTCACTGGAGTGGTGACATTGTGTCTGGGCTGCACTACTTCAGACTAAGGTCACATCAACATATGGTTCTCTATACAAAACAAAACTCAACCTGGTGTAGGGTTGCCAGCTCTGGGTTGGAAAATACCTGGAGATTTGGGGGTGGAGTCTGGGGAAGGCTGGGTTTGGGGTGGGGAGGGGCCTCAGCAAGGTAAATCAAGTTTAAATGCCACAGTGTCCACCTTCAAAAGCAGCCATTTTCTCTATGGGAACTGATCTTGGCCATCTGGCGATCACTTGTATAATAGCAGGAGATCTCCAGGTGCCACCTGGAGGCTGGCAACCCTAACCTGGTGTTTCTGGGAGAACGTTGTTGTGGAACCATTCCCTCTCCCTGACATGTTCATTTTCCTGTGAAGATATTGTTTTTACAGAGGAGCATTCACTCAGGTGAGCACCCACATGCGGTACACCCTACAGTACAGTCAAGACATGGGTTTACCATCTTATTGAGAACTTTTTTTTCGCCATCAAGCCACAGCCAACTTATGGCAGCCCTGTGGGATTTTCAAGGCAAGAGACATTCAGAGGTGGTTTGCCTTTGCCCGCCTCCATGTCACGACCCTGCCAAGTCCCCCCAGGGGGCGGGGAAACCCCCGCCCCAGAGGCCCGTTCCCCGCCGCCGCCGGATTGGGCCCCGGGGGGAGCTCCACCCCGGCGTGCATGTCACCAGGAAGTGACGTGACCAAGCCGGGCACGCTGGGGGCGGGGCCATGGCCATCCAAGGGAAAACTCTATGGTTTTCCCTCATATGGCTGTGGCCCCGCGTCACTTCCTGGTGACGTGGATGTGGCGCGCACGTGCTTTGTGCACGCGCGCACGCTCCAGGATCGACCTGGGAGTCCCCCCGTTCCCGGGCAAGGTACGACTTGGCAACCCTACCTGGTAGTCCTTGGTGGTTTCCCATCCAAATACTGACCAGTGTCGTCTCTACTTAGCTTCTGAGATCTGACAAGAATGGGCTATTCTGGGCTATCGAGGTCAGGGCCATTGAGAACTAGGCCACAGTTTTTCTCCAAGTATGTTAGGTGCTGTATAAAACATACAAGTGAAGTGGTACTTTCCCAGGCAGAAAAATCTGACTGCTGGCTTGTAGTAAACATGAAATATTTTTAATAGCAAGGTATGATTTATGATTCACTTATATGAACTTTTCAATACACAAAGAGTTAAGTTGTATATCATGTGAACGGATGATGTAAATCCATCCCTAAAGTGCTGTCAGGTAGGGCTTGCTTTGTTATAATGTATTTATTTGCCTCATTTATTTGCCTTTCTTGCAGACACTGGGTAAATTAAAATTATGATGAAAGGGTATTGATTCTAGTTGTGCTTCCTTGTTTCAGTTGTTACTAGCTCACGAGAACACAGCTTACATTCCAACTGGATTCTTCGCGCCCCTCGGAAACAGTCCCAAGACACCGTCCAAGCATCAAGAAAAGCAAGCCAATCGGAAAGAAAGAACCAAGAAAGAACAGTCAGTTCCAGAAAGAAATTAGAAAGATATCCAATATATTTGCCCAAAGCTGTGGAGGGAGCATTCAATACTTTGAAATTTAAACCCAAAATGTGCCCAAAGGAACAGCTTTAGCCTGGAAGTAATAGGAACCACCCAATGTTGAATCCCTTTTCATAAGAAGGCAGGCTACAAGATCAAAGGATTGCTGCACACCTGGGTCTTTTTGTATGATAAATATGAAATAGTTATTAATTTGATGCACACCACTCACAGATCTTCATTTGTAAGTACATTTCCATGTGGGTATATCACAATTTCCAAGTGCAATATTTTGTAGGTTGGAAAGTTTGTTACTTCCCCAAATCAATTTCTGTTGTGCTAGCTGTACAGTATGCGTGGTAGTACAAGGAACAGGGTCTTCTATTGGACATTTCCTGTGATGTCATTAAAGATGGGCCACACAAGTCCTCATGCTCACACCATTGTGTGAACTGTTTATATGGTTAACATTTTTATTGTTGTTTCATGACCAACAGAAGGCTGCTGGGAGCAGGGGGTGGGGCTTGTTGCATGTGCCTGCCCCCTGAGCTCCTTACTGCCGGAGCTCCACTCCTGTGCACTCCCTCAGGAAATGACCCCTGTCATGACCATGCACTACCTCACTGAGCAATTCACCTGCAGTAGCAATCACACAGGGTAATTTTTAATGGCAAATACCAGCAAGTCTACCTGCTCCCCCTTTCCATTTCCGTACAGTTTTGTGCACATTTAATTATATTAAAATCTCTCTTTCACATTCATAAGCTACTTTTGCAATAATCACTGTTCTTTTGAAGCTGCAAGTTCCCCCTTTTCTCTGTTGGGGGCACACATTAAGCCACAATTAAACAGGTAGAACAATGGTTCATCTGTCCACACCATCTCTTCTGTGTAGGCAGGGATCTGGATGCAAAGGATTGTAAAACACGCTACGTAAGCTCACAAGGGGTTTATATGGGGACTGCAAAGTTGTTAGTGATATGGTGCAGAGAAGATCAGGTGTTCAAAACCAATAAGTAGCAAAGTGCACCAAGCCAGGGCCATCAGGTGAAGACAAAGAGGATTGGAATCCCAGTGTGGTGCAGTGGTGGGAATGTTGCCTAAGAGCCCATGGCCCTCGGTAAGTCAGGTGATATGTGTTCACATGATGTTTATGTGGATGGGGGTGTAGGGGGGACAGAAGGAATATTTTTGGGGGACAAGCCGTGTTGGCACTTAACTGGACTAATACTTGTCCTTTTAGTGACCCTAAGCAGCAGTTTGTATCTTGGCTATTGTGTTGAGCCATTTTTTTTGGATCTGGCCTTCAAGCATCATGGCACAAAAAAGAAGAAAGACTGATTTGTTTCACACTTTGCATGGAAAGGCCCAAAGACTTCAGTTCAACAAAATGGTTATAGGATAATAAATGGGTTTGAAAATATCAACAAAGAACAGTTGTTTATTATATATCTAATTCCTAAATGAGACGGAAGCCAATGGAATTGACACAAGGTAAATTTGAAAAAGGATTATCCTCCAAGTACATCATAGGTCTGTGAATGTTTTGCCTCTGGAAGTAGTGATAGCATCCAGGGTCCAACAGTCAAATTCCTAAAACACTAAATCCCACTGCTGACACAAAATATGACAGACCCTTGCTTCTTCTTCACTGTGAGGCAGATTTTTCCCACCAAGATTTTTAGTTCCCTTCAGGTACTGAGTTAGCCTCCTCAGCTGGTGCTAGCCAATCAAAGAAAAGGAACAGCCTGTCACTCAAGCTCAACATTCTAGAGCAGAATTCACTGCTCACCTCCTCTGATGTTAGTGCATTAGGAAAACAGCATTTTAAATGTGGTCCGTCACAGCACGAAATACTTGCCACTATCTGGATGACTTTCAGGGCAGACATCCTATTCTTAGCACGTATCTCTTACCGTGACAGTGGGGTGGATCCTATCATTCCTTTGAGGAAAGGCTTTAATTAAAATATTTATTACCCCCCTTTCCTTTAGCTCAAAGTTGAAGCCTTCCTATAGCCTAAGCAGCCTTCCTCCAAATTAAGAGGCATTCTGAGTTGGCTTGCCATTGCCTGCCTTTGAGTCATGGTCATGACCCTGGTATTTCTTGGAGGTCTCCCGTCCAAATAACAGCCAGGGTTGACCCTGCTTATCTTCCGAGATCTGGTGAGTTCGGGCTATCCTGGTCAGGGAACATACTTGTACCCCCAGATATTTAGACATATACTTAAGGACACTAGTTGTTTACACCATCACATACTTTTATCATCTTGCTGTAGATGAATTTAGACTGGGCAGTGGCAGAACCCCACCTGTCTCCTTAATGTATATTTATATGTGCTGTGGTGACTGTAGTCCAGTGATCCCCCGGTGCCCGCTTGAGTCTTGGGGGTATAATAAAAAGGGTCTTGAATGGCTCTGTATCAGCTGCTTTACTAGCAAAGGCCTGTGTTTATGCAGGAAGCATCCTTTCGCTGGCAACTCAGCATCTCTTCTCCAAAGCAAAGGACTGATCCCAACATTCCTCTTCCTCTGTGGTGCAAATGAGCATCAGAAGATCCAGGCTGCCAACCGTGGCTTGGAGGAATTCCTGAAAGTGTGGGAGAAGTGCCTGGGGTGGGCGAAGTTTGAGGAGGTATTACCTATCTCGACTGCAAATTCCCTCCCCCATTTCCTCGTTGGCCAGAGTACTCTGGATTCACAATCTGCCGTCAGCCTAAAACATACCCACTCTGTAACATGACCCCCCTCCCATCATCACGGATTGCATGTTCATTATAATTAGCTTTTTAAGTATTCAAGGTGTGTCAGGTAATATTAATGGATTTATTAGGCATGCGTACTTGTTAGTGTCTATGTAAGTCAAGGCTATTCTTCTTCTACACCCCCCTTCCCATCTTATCTCTAGGTTTTGCTACTCTGCCTTATTCCTCAGGCAAATTTATAATTCGGCCATTGTTCACACATTCACACATTCAGCTAATTTTAACTATATCACTTCCCTCACACTGGAGGAAGAGCCACATAAGTTGAAGAAAGGCTGCTTGGACAATGGTTAGATCCATCCTGGTACCGTTGCTGACTGGATGCTTAGACTTGCATTTGTGTAAACTCTGGCCCTTTGCCATTTTTGTATCGGTTGCCCCAACAATATGTCCCAAGCAGTGAAAGCACCAATAATTCACAGTAGAAAATAGAAGAAATATTATTCAGGATGTTCTTTACAGTACTTATCAAATGCTTGGATAATATGTTGGGGGAGAGGAGTACACAGGATAGTTTCCCCCCTTCCCCCTACTCAGCTTCTCAACGTATTTCCAAGCTGGGAAAATTGTAAGCATGTTAGAGGTGCCTTTCTACCTTCTACTGATGCTGCAGTTATCGGTAGCCATAGTAAGGGTTAAACGGATCCTAAGCAAGTGCCAGCCTCTTTCAGTATCATTTTTATTACTTTCCTTGCATCTTGTTTGGTTACACTGTAAGCCAGTGGGCAGGAACCTTTTTGTCTGTCTGTTTGTTTTTAATTTACGCAGCACCCAATACAATATTTGGAGTTTTGTAAATAATAACGCAAATAAGAATTAAAAAAAAAACCCTTGATGGACTTTCATATGCTTGTGTGAAACCAATTAGGTCTTCCAAAGACATACGATTAAAAATATTCCAGGTGTATGCCAATTAGGTGGTGGGCAGGGAAACAGAAGGTGTGATGGAGGTCCCCACCCATCATACCTAGAAAGAAGAACTTGTATGCTCTGATTAAGCTGAGAATAGAGGAGGTGCTTGCTGGAAAGTGACTTCTCCACCCTGATCACGCCGATCTTCCATCTGCAAAACCCCCAGTGAGGTGGGATGTGTGAGATTTTGCATTAAAAATTGGAAAGAAAATGTTTCTATTGTGCACTGCTTGTGATTATAGCATACTCGTGGTGGTGGTGGAAAGTGCCATCATAGGCTCCTCCGAGCCAACTTGCTATTGGCTGCTCCACAACAGCGACCAATCACAACCATACCAATTCCCTGCGAGGGAAGGACTTTCATTGGACGTTATCCGCACAACCTCATTGGTTGTTTATTGTAAATAGGCGTGGCTACGTTAGCCCGGGAATGTTTAAAAGGAGCCTAGCTCCCAATGTTAAGTTGCTCTGGTTATGACTTCTTTCAAGCGCTTGTTCGTACCTACAATAAAGCTGATCACTTTTGTTGAAATCACTCTCCGGTTCTTTGTTAGCGGCGATCTAACAGGAGGGGAGGGAGCTTAGTGGGGATGAAATGTCATGTCCCTGTGATGTTAAAGTTCATCTTCTCCGATTCCTCCCTTGCCCAAAAATTCAAATTTAAATGTTGATTTCCTGTTGGGGTAAACTTCTTTAAATTGCATGCTTTTCTCAGTGTTATTGAGAAAAGACCCATGGGGGAGAATCACCAGCTAAGACAGTCCTGTCCTTCTTTCAGGCTTGCCGTTTGCCCAGGTAAACACCCACTTTCAAGAAATAGAGGTTTAAAAAAATGGCTGGAAAATGGCTCCACAGGGATGCTCTAGAGATTGCCCCATGTCTCTGGTCTTTACCATAGAGATTAAGGGAAATCCCTAGAGCAACAACCAACATCTTCCCCAGGCCCCACCCTCTGCAGGCACCGCCCTCAAAATCTCCCAGCTTTTGCCAAGGCAGTGCTATCCACCCTACGGAGCTCAGGAGCCCATCAGCCTGACAGCCATTTTTTTTAAGTGGCAGCAGGAAACAAGAGTCAGGAGCTGAGTGTCCCTTGCCAGGGGACCGTCAACCCGAGGGTGACCCCGGCTGTAACCTATGATTGTTGCTATGAGCACAAGCAAGATGTGGTGGTTTCTAGATAGGGTTGCCAAGTCCCTGTATACTCACCAGTGGGGGAGGCTCTGCCGGCTCCGGGAGCCAACTCCGGATGCGCGCGCGAAGCGCGGGCGTGCCGCCAGCACATCAACGGAAGTGACGTGCGATGTCACTCACGTTGGGGGCGTGGCCCAGATCGTCGGCGGAAATCGGGCCTCCAAAGCGGGGGTTTCCCCGCCCCCACTTGGCAGTCCTATTTCTTGACTGTATAAACCAGATTAAGGCTGCAGTCTTCTGTATGTGTATTTAGGAATAACTTCCTAAGAAATGTGGGGAAAAGAAGAAGAAGCATGAGCAGGGTATAGTCAAAGAATAGATGGCAACAGAAGGAATCTGCTGCAGAAACTAGTGGGCCTAGGAAGCAAAGCGCAAAATGAGATGCCAGATTAAAGGCCAATACAAAAAGGAGGAACCCAAGAAGAATAGTAGGTGAGAAAACAGGCAGAGGGGAGAATTGTGCATATACGATTAGGCACTGCTGCTGAGCTGAGAAAGGCTGAAATTCACACGCTGATTTTAAACACGTTAACTACTTTTAAAAGTGCGGGCCTTTAATATCTCGCATGACTCCAGCTTAGAGAGGAAAGATCCACAATTTCTGCATTTTTTTTTGTGTCCTTATCGTTCCTGAACTACCATGACAGATCAGAATTTTACAATAAAGTATGGTTGTATACTCCAGGGTAACGAACATGTTGCTTATCCCAGCACTGGGCCTTCTGACCCTGTGATCTGCTGAGAGGTGGTGCACTGAGTGTACACAATTCCCTCTGGCCTTCCTGGTCTCAGCGGCACTTGGATGTCGGCATTTAGAGCTGTGAGCTGCGGAAAAGAGAAGGACATCATCATAACACCCGCTCGAGAGAGTCCTTGCTGGGCTTGGTCTGAGATCATAAAAATATCATGGTAAGCTTCCTAATTGTCCTGTTTTGAGAGACAAATGGAACAGTAGATTATTTGTAAATGAGATATAAAAGGTTTGGCTATCTGGGATCTGTAGTTTTTTAATTTTTTGACGAAAGATGACACAGTGGCTTGAGCAAGTCTGGAGAGGCAGCATACAAAACTTCTAAATGAAGAAGGGAAATAATCATACGCAAGTTACTTCACATTTAAGCCTGTTGACTTCGAGGGGCTTAGACCGAAGAGATTCTTCACAGGAATGCTTTATTACTGGATGCGTGTGAGGAAGGCAGGGAGAAGTAGAGAACTGGCCTCTGTAGTTGGGAGATGATTCCAGGAGAAATTCAGGCCCTACCTGGAAGTTGGCAACCCTAAGCGAGCACAAACTCAGTCGCTTGAGTAGAATCTATACAATCTGGCTTCAATTTTTAAAAAGAGGTTTCTGCATCTCTTGATGGTATAGAATAAATGTCTTGGCATGTTTGAAAGAAAGAAAGAAAGAGAGAGAGAGAGAGAGAGAGAGAGAGAGAGAGAGAAAGAGAGAAAGAAAGAAAGAAAGAAAGAAAGAAAGAAAGAAAGAAAGAAAGAAAGAAAGAAAGAAAGAAAGAAAGAAAGAAAGAAAGAAAGAAGTTGAAATTCCTGATCCAGGGAGGATTACAATAATATGATATGTAGAGTAGGCCTGTTCCTTAAGGCATAATTTATGGTGGAACCATGTGGACTATCAATTACAAAACTTTTAGGCACTATCAAAACTCAATGTACCCCTTCATTCAAATCCCCTTAATCTAGGGTTGCCAGCAATGTTCCCTCTGAGCTGTGGAGTCTTGTGAGCAAAAATTCTACTTTGTGAGCTACTGGCCTTCAAGCTGTGAGCGAGCGATTTGGCTACTGCCTAAATTAGTTTGCTCCGGAGCCATCCTTCCTGAGCTGAGACAAAAATGTGTGAGCCAGAGGCTAAAAAACTGTGAGCTAGCTCAATCTAACTCAGCTTAGAGGGAACACTGGTTGCCAGAATCAGGTTGGGAAATTTCTGGAGGTTTGGGGATGGACCCTGGAGAGGCCAGGGACCTCAGTGGTGTACAATGCCATAGATTCCACCCTGCAAAGCGTCCATTTTCTCCAAGGGAGTGGATCTCTGTAGTCTGGAAATGAGATGTAATTCCAGGGAATCCTCAGGTCTCACCTGAAGGCTGACATCCCTACCTTAATCCCTATTTATAGTTAGCTCTTCTCCCTAAGCCAAATTGTTCTACGTCAAAGTAGCCCACTCCTTATTCTCTTCCCAAAACTTCAGAACACATGGTAGGATCTCTCCCATCCTTTAGTAAAGATTTGCATGGGGATAGACAGAGAGGATATAGAAAAATCAAAACCTCCAATAAATGTACAAATGTTTCATTTTGCCAATCAGAAGGCACACACTCTTGTGCAGGCCCTTCAGAATCAAAGGGGTATCTCCTCGACTCCCAGTTTGCTTCCTGTTTTATATCGTTTATTTTGTGATGACAGCATTCAGAAGTGTGTAGCTGATCAGCTGCCAGGTCCTTAAGAAGGAAAATTTTGGAGGGAAGGAGGATGGTCACCAGCCGGGAAACTGTATGGTGGCACTTTTGATTGGAGATGTATGACAAAAGTGGTTGGGGGACAACCGCTAATGGCACCTAATCTTGTGGAGGGGCGAGCTTTGAAGGAACACATGGGGTTATAAAATCGTGGAAAGGTTCTCAGTAGGTTAAATGCTGTCAAGTCACTTCCGACTTATGATGACCCTATGAATGAATGACCTTCCAAATGTCCCATCGTTAATAGTCTTGGTCAGGTCTTGCGAACTGAGGGCCGTGACCTCCTTGATTGAGTCAATCAATCCATCTCATGTTGGGTCTTCCTCTTTTCCTGCTGCCTTCAACTTTTCCTAACATTATTGTCTTTCTCAGTAAGTCTTCTCATAATATGACCAAAGTATGATAGCTTCAGTTTAGTCATTTTAGCTTCTAGGAAGAGTTCAGACTTGAAAGACCCTAAAGATCCTAAAATAATAGCCTGAGGAGGCTGGGTTCTTCTGGCTTCAGCTGAAAGCATCCAGACCTACAGGAAACTTTCAGCTCCATCTTGCCTCATCAATGAGCTTGGGGGACATTTAGCATTTATTTCATTCCTCTCAGATTGAATTAATTGTTTGAATTAATGTTTGGTCTAGCAAAACTTTGTAGCTGAGTTTTGGGTCTAATCAGGGGTTTTTTTGCAACTCTGCTCCATTATAAAAATTATATGAAATTCAACTAATTTGCATTGCGCAAGGCTACTAGCAAAGTTTTGTAATGAGATTTTTTTAAAGTGTAAGATCACTATAAGAATAACTTTTCGCATATTTAACAGGAGATTTGGAATGGAAAAAACCCTTATCTCTCTGTTTATTTCCTGTAAGCCGAAGGAATGCCTTTGAGAGGTGTCCCTATTGCTGATGTGGCTGCTGACACAACATAACAGCAATGGGGCTTCCACATGGCAGGTTTCCCAGCAGTTTCCCTTTCCTAGACCCCAACAATGGCCACCCTCCACCTGCCTGCTCTACTGGGGCTTTTGCAATTTTTTTAAAAGGCAGTAGAATATTGTTATATTGATATAACAGTATACCATCATGTGTACCAGATTGTCAAATTTCTCAGCTTTCATTAAAAAAGTTTATCTAGCCCTTTCTGTTGCAGAGATATAAAGGGAAAGGCAAATCTCTGCAACAGAAAGAGCTGGAGACTTTCTTTTCTTTTTTCCAAATGAAAGCTGGGAATTCAGGGTACACATATTGGTATATTGTTATATTGATATAATGACATTCTAGTACCAATTAAAAACATTTAAAAGCCACCCAAGGCAGGGGGAGGAAATGTCCACTGTGGGTTTTGGATTCATAGTGGCCTTGTGGGCAGGGGTCATTTAGTAGAAAAAGAGCTAGGGGGACTCATTAGCATAACTCATTAGCATATGCCACACCCCCTGACATCACCGGAAGTGTGTCCTCCCCACAGCCGGCGGCGACCTCCAGCGGGCACCAGCAGGGAGCTCCAGGCCCCGCCCTCCCGCACCTCACCCGGGGGGATGGCGTCCCCCCGCGTCCCCCCCAAATGACCTCTGCTTGTGGGCAGGAAAATTCAAATCCCCCTACAGCAATCACCTAAGCTTTAGCGTAATTGTTCCCAAAACTTTGGAGCAAACCAGATTTTAGAAAGATCGGAGAAAAGCTAAGGAAACCCCAGGAGGCACACCAATGTACCATGATGCTGTGGGGAAGCAGGAGAAAAACCCACTTTCCAAAAACATTGAACCTGGGGCAGATAACCCATGGGGAAATCATGTCTCCTGTATTAATGCATTAGTATTTGCGATAAGATTTGTGGTTCAGCTGGGCATACGTAAGGGTTTCTTTCTCTTGCTCTAGTACGGATTCATCAACAATTGCCTGAAATCTCTCCTTGTGGAGAAATTCGGTGAAGAGACATGGGAAAAACTCAGGTAAGTATCCCTACCCTCTAACGTGTTACATGAGGGAAGTGAACACTGGGACGCCTTCGTGATCATTTTAACCTTCTCATTCTGACACGGTCTGAGCCCTCCTCCATTGCTACACATTGCTCTTCTTCCCAACCTGCTTCATGCCTTTCCCCCCCACAAAAGCTTATCCTGACCATAGTTCATACATTATGTGAGTATGCACCCAGGAATGACTAAGGGGTCTTCTACACAGCATGGTACCCATACGGTACCACAGCAACAAGGCTTCCAAATGACATGCTTCCCTGCATTTGCCAGTCCGCAGTGACAGCCATTCCCACCCCATACCACTGGGCAGGGGTCATTTCATAGAAAAAGAGGTGCAGGAGCTCATTAGCATAACTCATTAACATAACTTATTTGCATATGCTACATCCCCCGACATCACCGGAAGTGTGTAAGAAGGCAACACCCACTGCTCATTCTCCACTGGATTGTTTTGGATTGCTAGCTATTGGGGGCGGGCTCTGCAGCTTACCTGGCTGCTTCTTGCTCTGATTGAGGGCTGCTGGGAGCAGGGGGCGGGGCTTGTTGCATGTGCCCGCCCCTGGGCTCTTTACTGCCAGAGCTCCGCTCCTGTGCGCTTCTGCAGGGAATGACCCCTGCCACTGGGGATCCAAGGTGACTCTCTCCTCTCTTTTTTGCTCACAGAAAAGCTAGCGGCATCCAACACTTTGGCTCTTAGGATGTCTAGAAACTGCATATAACTGTATAATTCATAAGAAATGTTAGATTCGAGTCCAGTACAATGCTCCCTCTAAGCTGTGGGGTCTTGTGAGCAAAAATTCTCCTTTGTGAGCTGCTGGCATTAAAGTTGTGAGCAAACAATTTGGCTACTGCATAAATTAGTTTGCTCTGGAGCCATCCTTACTGAGCTAAGACAGTAAATGTGTGAGCCGGAGACTAAAAAACTGTGAGCTAGCTTACACTAAGCTAGACCACAGAGACCAACAAGATTGGGTGGGGGTCTGAGCTTACGAGAATCTTAGTTTCTTTTGTCAGATATGAATGGATCTGATTAAGGTTGCTTTGACTCTTGGAAGTTCATACCCTGAAAATCTTTTTGGTCGCTAAGGCAATAAGGGACTCTAATCTAGCTATTCTACTGCAGACCAAAATGGCTGCCTTCTGAAACTACACATTTCATAAGGGGCCTTTTCTCTGTCAGCTTTCATCAGCACAATGATTTGATTAATTATCATCACCTTTGATGTTCCCTAGGTTTGAATGGGAAGAAAATTGTTTTTTAAACATAACCAAAAAAAAATAATGGTGCTGGTTTAGCTGAATTGTACAGACCAAATTGCAAATTGTTTGTTCTCCTTTATGGCCTAGCCTCAGATACAACATTTTTGTCATTTTTGCAGAACTCAAGCTGGGCTTGAAGACAATTTTATGACATATACTGTGTACGACGATGGTGTCACAATAAAGTTGGTCCAGGAAGCCTGCAAGACCCTAAGTATTGAGTTGATTGTTGTTTTTAATTTAGAATATCTGTAATATTTTTATTTTGATCTACCTTGGTGGCTCCCTCTCCCCGTCTGTCTCTTTGCTGACTCATCTGCCATTAGTTTGGAGGTGCAGAATGCTGATAGTTAGGTGTAAAATAAAGTCCCGTAAGCTCTGGTCACTTGTAAGGGAAACCATGCTTACCGTCAGTCAGTACTCTTAGGAGATTTATTCAGAAGTCCCTCCCAAAAGTTAGGGCTGCCAATCTCGTCGCCAACTCCTGTCACTAATTCAAGTGGTGGAGGGAGAAAAAAATACAAAAAAAAAAGGCTGTTGGGCTGACACTGTGACATCACTTTTGGAGGAAACTTGGAAGTCACATCATACCTCTCTAGGAATCACAGAAAAATCTATGGTAAAACCATCAAGTTTCCAGCGATTCCTAGAGATATGAGAATTTTCCTTGGAAACAATGTTGCACTATTGTGAAGGGCACTCCCAATGTCCCTGCCCCTCATCTCCCACTACCCAAGATTGCTCCATTTATGAGGAGGTGGGAGGGGAGGGCATGCCAAGCCTAAGTGCCCCATTCCCCTCCCCCCCCTCGCTGAGTACTCACAAAAGCTATGAGATATGGCAATCACCAGAAGTCAGCGAGGGTGGAAGAGTCACTTTCTGGGCCCAGACCAGTCAAGGAGCCCACTGTAAATTAGTGAAGTAAAATACTGGACTTGGAGCAACCTACAATAACACAGGGTACCGGGGCTCTGGTGCAACTTCTGAGGCAGAACACACTAGGGTGGATCCAACCCTCCTCAAAGAAGACTTCCTCCAACTTAAGGAGTCTTTTCCCATCTTAAGTGGCTCTTCCTCTGACAGAAGAGCTGCTTGAGCTGGAGAAACTCTCCTCGGACGGGAGGAAGGCTTCAAACTTTGCTCAGTGGTGTGGTATGATAGGGATCGGATTCACTCCACTGTCTCTGACTTGGCTATACTCTGGGCCCTTCTCTCAGTTTACAGTCCAATCTCCTTTACACTTGTACTTGCAACCCTATGGCCGTTAAATGGGCCTTATTGGTCTAACAGTGCAATCCTAATGCAGAATTACACCCTTCAGTGTACCCAGAAGAGTGTATTTATGCTTAAGTAGCTGTAAGTCCACAAAAACTTGGAGCCAACCTTGCTGCAAGATATATCTGCTGTCCAAGGTGTCCAAGTCGATTGCCCTTCGATCACTGTAGGGACTTCTACTGTGCTTACAATTATCTGGATATTACAGACATTTTCATGGGGAAAAGTCATGATATTCAGGGCATCATGGATGGTCATGATAAGGAAAAGTACATTACTAGAGTAATTCCTACATAGCAGAAGGGTACTATATTGTGAACATGACTTGGAGGTTTGGTACCTGTTTTTTTTTCAAGAGAAAGGGCAGATTTTGTACTTTCTCTGTACAAAATATGCAAACCCTCTCCAATTCAGGACTGATACTGCCCTCTTAGAATCTAGGCAACACTCTCCTCTCTGCCCACCCCAAAGAGAGAATAGCACTGTCAGAGACAATGTCAGAGACAATGAGGCTGACTAGAGTCAGAGAGGTGGAAGAAAAAATCCTTCTGCGTTGCACTGAGGACACGCCAGGATGTTAAGCAGATGTGTTCTTCTGAGAGGATTTGGTGGATGCATTTTGCTCATGCCTGAGGTGTGAGTCGAAGCCCTCACCTTTATTGGTTTCACTCATTTCCATTCAGATGTACCAGAAGAGGCAGCGCTAAAACTGTTTGGGGACCACTTTTTCAGTTTCTGTAAGATGTCCGGGTACGACAGAATGCTTCGGACTCTGGGAGGGAACTTGATTGAATTTATCGAGAACCTTGATGCTCTTCATAGCTACCTTGCCCTGTCCTACCAGGTACTGATTTATTTATCTTCTTCATTTATACCCCACTTTTCTCCTCAATGGGTGCATTCAGATGGCGTGCTGAGAGCGGTTTAAACTGGTCCGGTTCTGACGCACTTATTTTTACTGTGGACAATGTGGGAGCGGAGCTCCACTTATGCACATACCGCCAACGCACAAAAAACAAAAAGGCAGCCGAAAAGTGGAAGCCTTGGGCTTTCAAGCAGGGAGGGGGTTTAAATAATCGGAAGTGGCTTGACACCAGAGGAGCGATCACACAGGGGAAACTGCGGCTTTAAATGGGAGAGCTGAGAAAATACCACTTTGGGACCTGGTAACAAAATATTCCGGGTTAAAGGGGTTTTGAGCTGGAAATCAACGGCTGGGGACAGGAGGCAGATGTTGACTGTGTGATCGTGCATATAAAATCCATTGCTGAACTGTCACAACACCAGATCAAACGGCGCGTCTGAACGCACCCAGTGTGGACCCAAAGCGGCTTACAATATTTCCCTCTTCAACAACCCTCTGAGCTAGGTTAGGTTGAGAGTGATTGACCCAAGGTCACAAAGTAAGCTTGCATGGCAGTGTGGGTATTCAAAACCGGGTGTCCCAGATCCTCTTCTGACACCCTAACTACTATACTGCCTTCTGTTTACTCACTGTACTCACCAGTACCAATCTGGAGTAATCTGTGATAATTAATATATTTTTTCAGAACAGATAAGGCTACAGGTCAGCCATTGCTTGTCCTCAAACCTGGTAATGTCTGTTGCATATAAAAGGAATCTGAAGGTCAAGCTGGGCTCCTTGATCCATCCCAACCAGTCCATATTTCTCCTGTCGTCATGGCCTGTTCTTTATATTCCTTGCCTTGGTCCCTCTTTTGTCTGCTTCTGAATAGCTTCCCCACCGTCCCTTCCTCACCATCCTAGCATGTTGTAGTGGTTAAGAGCGGTGGCCTCTAAACCGGAGAACCGGGTTTGATTCCCCACTCTTCCACAGGAAGCCTGCTGGGTGACCTTGGGCCAGTCAGAGTTCTCTCAGAACTCTCTCTGCCCCACCTACCTCACAAGGTGCTTGTTGTAGGGAGAGGAAGGGAAGGATGATTGAAAGCCACTTTGAGACTCTTTAAGGTAGATAAAGCAGGGTATAGAAACCAACTCTTCTTCTTTTTCTTCTTCTTCTTGTCCTCCTCCTCTGTTGTTCAGGTGAAAAATATTCCCCACCAACAATAGCTTCCCCACCATCCTTTCTTACCTGTAGCTCAGGTGAACAATACTGTTTTGGGAAGACAAAGATTGTGTTGCTCTGCAGACAAATTCCAAAAATTTTGTAATACCTTTTATTAGCTCCAACAAAAGAGCACAAAAGAGAATTCAAACTGTTAATCACACTTAATGTTAGGTACAAAAAAGGTGTGTGTGGGGCGTGTGGCTGTGAAGAGAAAATACATTTATTTACGGCATAGTGGCAAAGCCCCATATTTGCAGGGGTAGTCTTAAAATCGAGTACAGGATTTGCTCTTCTGCGATTATTTTTCTATATAATAAGATGGCATATACAAAGAAGATAATTTGTAGAGTGGTGTAAAACTTTGTTGTAATAATGAAACATAAAGCCATTATGAAATTGACCCTAAATCTTCAAATTCAGAGCTGTGATCCAACATCAAGCAACACAGAAGCCAGTCTGTGGGTTTTTTCCATTATGAAAAGTGTTCACCTTTCTCCAATCTGCTGAAACTCTTGATTATATATTTAATAAACGTTAAATGGGTAAATCTGGTGTTGTTTTCATTATTTAACCAAGAGCTCCATATCAGGAGGTCAGAAATGCCGTTACTAACAGCGGTTTGGTATAAGAACTGTATATGAAATTTACCCTCAAAGAAAGAAAAACATTGAGATTGTTTTTCTACATAGGAAATGAATGCACCATCATTTCGTGTGGAAAGAACAGACGGGATGCTCCTGCTTCACTATTACTCCGACAGGAAGGGCCTGTGTCAGATTGTCCCAGGTGAAATGCCGCAAGATCCTGTTTTGAATAGGGTTGCCATTTCCCAGGTGGGGGTGGGGAAACTCTCGTCTCTGTTACCCACCCTCACTCTGGCAAGTGGCAGGGGCAAAATATGGAGTCCAGAACAACATCTCGCAACGTTATGACATCATTTCCAGCTGCACAACCAGAAGTGACATTAACATGATGCTGGATGCTCTAGGATGCACTTGAAACTCTATGGTTTTACTCTAGAGTTTCAAGTGATCCTAGAGCATCTGGCAATGTAGTTACATCACTTCTGGTTATGTGGCTGGAACTGATGTCATGATGTATGGCAATGCCATTGTGGTGAGTATCTGCTCCCCCAAGGTCTCTCAGGTGTTGCTAGCCAAGGATTGGCAACTCTAGTTTCAACCCAGGCTTTAGTTTGGGATGTATTATCATACAACCATGTTTCTCCTGGGACTTTTCCATAAGGGCTAGCAAAATTATCCTTGTCATACGTGATGGTCACACCCATGATCTACCTCTCAACATGAGCACTTTCCTGCAAATGCTGGTTTGTTGTTTTTATCTGCAGGATGAAGGCTGTGAAAAGAGAAACTACTATGTAGTGCGGGGTTTTCTACATCACTCCTTTGCCCATGTAAACCATGCTGTTCATGCTCAGTCAAGCACCAAGAAGACGGAGCATCAATTGCCCCAGAGTCCCTATCTATTTTTTCCACATCACTCCTTTGCCCATGAAAACCATGCTGTTCATGCTCAGCTTGCAAGTCCCAGTCCATTGGCAGTAACACTGTGTCAACTGTGGGTGGGTGGCATATTAATTACTTCCACACGAATCATTTAGCCTCAGATTGTTATGATTAATTTGCTTTCAACTGAGAATCCAGAGAGTGTCACTAGCGATCTGTTGTATTCCTATGCTATCCCTGTCGCCCTCTTAACTTTTGTCCGACCTGGGTGCTATGCTGTACCCTCTTGGGGCTAAATTCAGCCCTTAGGCAGCCAGTTGCCTGTTGCGAATACGGTCACACAAGTCTCATCAACTACTTAGTTTTTGTGCGCAAAGGGTGTGTGTGGGGGGGAAGGTATTCATGAAATTGTTCTGTACTTTCCAAAGTTATTTTATGATTTCCAAAGTTATTTTGCTTATGTGGCAGCCAGTTGCCTGTTGCGAATACGGTCGCACAAGTCTCATCAACTGCTTAGTTTTCGTGCCCAAAGGGCGTGTGGGGGGGAGGTATTCATGAAGTTGTTCTGTGATTTCCAAAGTTATTTTGTTGTAACTGAAATGAGAATTTTTCACTAAGGATTGGGTCCAGACTAAATTTTCCATCAGCAATATGGAACTTCCCCGCCTCTCTCCTCCCACTGCAGCCCCCTGATCTCCACCAAGTGCTGTTCCTGGGGATAGGGGACCCTAAGGAATATCAGAAGGGGACTTCGCAGTGGGAAGGGCAAATGGGTGGAAATTTCCATAACTGCAAAGTTTAGTTTGGATCCAACCCTAAGAGTGCAGTGTTACAAAAATTTATTGTATTTGTATACATGGGATGTATATCACCTCTATGCACTGTCTGCAAGACGATGATGATGATGATTTTGGACACAGGAATCCTTGAAGCTGTGGCCAGAGATTTCTTTGACAGTAACGTGACGCTGAAAATTCTGAATCAAAACGTAGAAGAGGAGCGTACTGGGAAGAAGGAGCATGTAGTCTTTTGTTTGCATAACGAGGAAAGGGGAAAGAACGAAATCGAGGAGAGAACATCCGAAGACTCAGAGAAGGATAAAGAGGTAGAGAAAGTGGTTCTGTACTTGGTCCTGAAAGTGGTTTTGAGCCAGTACAATCATTCTGCATTCGTAGAGGCTGATGTCTAAGGCGTTGCTACAGATCCAACCTTAGGGAGGCTTCCTCCAAGTTCTGCGGCTCTTCTGTTGGCGAAGGGCTCCTTAGGAAGAAGGAAGGCTTTCCTCAGTGGAATGTGGTAGAATAGCGGTAGGGTCCACATCCCTCTATACATTGGTGGGAACTGCCACCAAGTTGCAGCCGACGTATGGCATCCCAATAGGGTTTGCAAGGCAAGAGGTGGTGGTTTGCTATCACCTGCCTCTGCATAGCAATCTTGGACCTCCTTGGTGGTCTCCCATTCAAGTACTAAGGAGGGCTAACCCTGCTTAGCTTCTGAGATTGGGTTAGCCTGGACCATCCAGGTCTCGGCACTGTATACACTAGGAGGAAATTTCTAATTGATGGCTGCTTTCAATAGTATTAATCCAGTGGTCAGGGGAAATTTTGGTTTCCATGGAAGTGTATTAGGTAGAAAATCAGTAAGGGAGGACGCTCTACTGAATAACATTGGTCTACTCCAGCTTTTAATCACGGGGGAGAGATAGGGCTGTGTTCTAGAGTATACTGTCCACTGACATGGAGCAACAGTGATGATTAACAAGTTTGGCTGGCATGCATAAAGTAAGCAGGTGCCCTAGCATGTTACCCAGGACTCTATCGTACCCAGGTGTGACAGATGTGCAAGAGTTTCTTAATCGACAAGCTGATATAAAGGGGTTCCCAGGAGGCAGACAGATTGAAAACTGATGGTGATCAAGGACAGTTGTAGAATCTCCTTCCTTGGAAGTTTGAAAAGAAAGGAAAGAAAGGCACCTATTGAGTGTGGTATGTGTTAAGTGTTGCCATGTCACTTCTGACTTACAGCATCCCTAAGAATTAAACCCAGGGCTATTTTTGGTCAGGAACGCACAGGAACGGAGTTCCAGCTGGCTCCTGAGTTGGCCACGCCCAGCAGGGTCTCATTAGCATAATAGGCCACACCCAACAGCAGAAACTCATTAGGATTGGCTACATTAGGGGTGTGTGGCCTAACATGCAAAGGAGTTCCTGCTACAAAAAAAGCCCTGGGTTTTGACAACAAACAAGGTAAACAGAATAACAAGCAAAAGGTGGGTGTGGCTGGATGACCACACTTCTGGTAACATGGGGGTGTGGCCTAATGTGCTAATGAGCTGTGCTGCCAGGGGTGTAGCCTAATATGCTAATGAGTTTCTGGTGTTGGGTGTGGCCTATTATGCTAATGAGTTCCTGCTGGGGTTTTTCTACAAAAAGAGCCCTGATTAAACCAATTTAGTAAGCACAATATGTTCTGCCTCGAGCGAGCCGTACTGTTTCTTCCCAGTCTGCGATTTCAAGGGACACTCTACAAGAGTCTTTTGACTGCCTCACCATCCCTGCTGGCTCTTCCTGTCTTCTCCTGCTCCCACAAGTTTGCTCTAATGCAAGTTGCTATGACAGAGCATGAATGCCAATCCCTTTGTTTTAATGACCACCATCCCACTGTTTTGCTGCATGGTTCTCTTTAGATATTGGATGGAGCTTCCCAGAAAGGGAGGGAAGAACTGACATTGCGCTGCCCAGAAAAGAAATCCTACTGGGACATTGTGAGATGGGCTGTGAGATTTCATAGAGGTGAATACGTTCCTTCTTAACTCCGGGTGTGATGATTGTAATTAAATATATAAATGAGTCTACAGTCTTGCTGGATATAACCACAAGTTTTTGTTTTTTTTAAAAAAAAGGTTTCCAGGGATGTTTCATTTGGGGATGTGAAAACATGACTCCGTTATGGCAGAAGCAGCAATTGGCTTGTGAGTGGGCGGGAACCGTGTCCACCTACCCCATCCCTGTGCCAGCTGCTGCTGTTCCCCTCATCCCCCCCCCCATTTTCTCCACAGTGTCTGCGCTATGAAGATCGTGCCAGGCCCCACACAACCAGCAGCCAATCCTCTGTTAAAGGGTTTTTTTAGTCCATTAAAAATGGGACGAAATAAGGAGCTTAGCTCTGCCCTCTCCTTATATTGGCTGTGGGCTGAGCGCCCACATGGACATTCCACCCACAGCCACCCTGTAGTTCCGTCTTTGAGTCACGTCAAGGTGGGTTTTCCTTTGATCCGGTTTAAAGGGGAAATCACCAGGAGGACCACAAGCCATGTTCACTTTGAATGTAACATTGTGAGGAAGTTCGCTGTTTGACCTTGGGCCTGTCACTCTCTCTCTCAGCCTGACATACCTCACAGGGTAGTGGTTGTGGGGATAATGTGGAGCAGAGAAGAACGAGTTTGTAAGCCACTTTGGGTCTCCCCCATTGGGGAGAAAAGTAGATGTAAACATCTAAAAGAAAAGAAGAAAATATCATTGTTCAGAGGCCAGAGCATCAATGCAATGTATGTACACTTCTTCTAACATATCACAGCCTCCAAGGATCTCAGAATAGTCAGTATCAAAGGGTAGGTGGTTAGGGATGATGACTAGTTATTTTTGTCTCCACAAACAGAAGTAGATGGGTGTCTTTATCGTATCAGTTTCTGAGAGCCAACGTGTGTAGTGGTTAAGAGTGGCAGACACTAATCTGAAGAACCGGGTTTGATTCCCCACTCCTCCACATGAAGCCTGCTGGGTGGTCTTGGACCAGTCACAGCTCTCTCAGAACTCTCTCAGCCCCACCTACCTCACAAAGTGCCTGTTGTTGGGAGAGGAAGGGAAAGGTGATTGAACACCACGTAGAGACTCCTTAGGGTACAGAAAAGTGGGGTACAAAACCAGCTCTTTTCTTCTTTCTGCATTGCCTTGTCGGGCTAACTATTCTCAGCCTAACACAGTAGAAAGACAAGAGCAGATCCAAAATGGATTTCTTACTGCAAAGATAAAACATGCTAATTCAAACAAAGATTTCTGAATGACTTATCTCTCTGATTCACAGGAAACATTCTACGTACCTCTGAGCTACAGTTCCCTGAAAAGCTTTGGATTGAGGAGAGAACATTTTGCTATACATTCCCATTCCACGTTGTGTTTGATAAAAAAGTAAGCCATCCCTTTGGGTGAGGTGCTTTTAGTTAAAGGCTTCAGTAGGGATGGTTCTGGCTGTGCAGAGGAGCAAAATAAGATGTAAGAATGCTGTTTTGTTGGCTCAGCTTTTGCTGGAGTTACAGTATGCCAGACTTTTAACCTTGCAGTATGCCAGACTTTTGACGTTATGTTCCTCGTACATGCACATATGTGCACATGCATAGGGCTCCCAGCTCTGGGTTGGGAAATACCTGGAGATTTAAGGGGTGGAGCCTCAGGACAACAGGGTTTGGGGAGGAGAGAGACCTCAGGAGGGTATAATGCCATAGAGTCCACCCTCCAAAGCAGCCATGTTCTCCAGGGGAACTGATCTTAGTCGTCTGGAGATCAATTTTAATAAAAGGCGATCTCCAGTTGCCACCTGGGGGTTGGCAACCCTGTATACATGTTATTAGGGGTCTGATATTTAAAATCAGTCTTGTTGCTATGCTGAACATATATTTTAAACAGGACTCTCCTGTAGAGGGGCTGGGAACAGCCTCTGTTTTGCGTGCAGAAAGTCCTAGGGTTCAATCCCCAGCATCTCCATATTTTTTTTAAGAGGACCAGGCAGTAGGTGAACTGAAACACCTGTACCTGAGACCCTGGAGGGCTGCTGCCAGTCAGAGTAGACAATACTGATCTTGATGGACCAATAGTCTGATTCAGGATAAGGCAGCTTAAGGTGCACCTTAAATTTGATGTAATATTTTCCCTCTAAAAGCTAATCTGAAAGTTTTCTCCTGTAGTTATGAAGTTCTGTCTGTCTGTGTCCCTCAGCTGAAGATCAAGCAGGCTGGGGTCAACATTCAGAAATTTGTGCCTAGACTGCGGACGACTGGTACCAGATTAGACAAGTATTTTACTATTGTTCATCCACAAGTTACGTTCACAATTTTCAGTATAAGGAAGTTTATCAACAGTCAGTTTGTCCTCAAGGCCCGAAGGGATAAGCTGCCTAAATCGTGGAACCAACGGCCACTGCTGAAACTCAGAGGTACCAACAAAGTGGGGGGGGTTGTAGGTGAGGGGGATGTAAATCCATCTGATTTGAAGGATCTTTGTGTTCATTCTTGGTCTAGGGTGGCATTGGGTAATAGTCTCCAGTGGAGGCATGAAAATTATATAAAGATTGTAAAAGAAATACCAGACAAGAAAGACAAGAGAGTTTTGTATCTGAGGACAAATATTCAGTTGCCTGTTAAGCCTGAAGAAGGGCTTACTAGAGTTCTTACAAGGGGGCTGGCCCGGGATTCTTCCTCCTGAGCTCAGAGGGAGGTGATAGCAACGCCAGGGGTCTTTTTCCAGTGAAAAACACAGCAGGGGAGCAAAAGGTTAATGTTCTGCTCTCCTTATCCCCTTCTTCTCCTTGATGAAGCAATCCTGGCAGCTGGTTTTGCAAAAGGCAAAACTGTTATTTAAAAATGAACAGAGGGGAAAACCTTAATGGGTACTCGAGCACTTGGGCTGATGAAGGCCTTCAAAGTAAGACTTGGACTGGTAAACTGTATGGAACCCAGAGGTCATTTCGGGGGGGATCGCGGGGGATCGCAGTTCCCCCAGGTGAGGTACGGGGGGCGGGGCACATGACGAAGCCCTGCCCCCTGCTTCCGGCCGCCCTGCTTCCGGCCCTCATTCAGCCAGGAGGAGGCAGGAGAAGAGGGAGGATAAGTTGCTTCCTCCCTGCCTCTCCCCACCCCTGCCTGCCTGGGGCCAGGGAGGGTCTTCGCGGGGCTTCCTTGCACTCCCGCCGGCCTTGCAGGTCCACCGCTGGGCGGGGTGTGTGGCCTTATGACACACTTCCGGTGATGTCGGGGGTGTGTGGCATATGCTAATGAGTTATGCTAATGAGTTCCCCTAGCTCTTTTTCTATGAAACGACCCCTGATGGAGCCTCATACTGTTATGTCTCTCTCTTTTTTTTAATGAAAAGGGCAGATGGTCTGGATGGAGGGCCTCCAGTGCATGCTGTACTTGTGCTCACCGAAGCTACGCAGTTTGGAGGAGCTAGAAGAACAACAGATGCACCTTTCTGACATCGCACAGCATGACACGACGAGGGATCTGATCCTCTTCAACCAGCAACGACTGGCGGAGATAGAGCTGTCCAACCAACTGGAGAGAAAGAAGGAAGAGCTCAGGATCCTCTCTAAAAACCTGGATGCAGAAAAGAAGAAGTCGGAAGCCTTGCTCTATTCCATGCTGCCAAAACATGTGGCGAATCAACTTAAGGAGGGCCACAAGGTGGAAGCAGGTACAGCTCTTCCGTTGTCTTTAAGGTTTTGGAGGTGTATGCTGCAGTGCTGTTAGACGTACGCACAACCAGCATGCTACTGGAAAACTCTAATGAAGACAGACTGATAGATTTTGGACCCAGTGATTTTAAAAGCAGTGACCGTGAAGCCTAACCCCTATGTATTTACTTGGAAGTAAGCCCCACTGAGCCAAGTACAATGCGATTTACTCCCTAGTTTTGTGAGTGTGTGTGGGGTTTCCAAAATGACCCCAGGCATAGTCAGGGCCGAAAAATAAAAAGGGTTTTAAAAATGCAAAAAATAAAATAAAATTGCAAAATGAAAAAGAGAGAGCGGGAGAGTTGGAGGTGTCTCCCCCCCCCCCG